TGATGACAAAATAATTATTCAGGCCAAAATTAATATACCTTTCGGCTTTATCTGGCGCCGTCGCATGCCCTCTAACGATTACGGCTCTAATTTGCACTCTTACGGAATTTTAATTTGATTAGATTTAGGCTTAATTACATTTTTAATTTCCCATATTCTTTTTAGCCAGATATTATTTTAATCGTGGAAAATAATGACAAGTATAAAATACAAGGAATGTGGTTTTAGTGTGTCACGTTAAATTAAATAAGTTAATTAAGTAGGGGGTTAGGTGTTATAGAAACCGATGGCGTGCTAATAAAATATTGATTTAGATAATATATTTTAAGGAACATGATAGAAATGTGATTTTAAGTCGAAAGTGATAATTTGATATAACGTTAGTGAGGAATAAGCAAGAAAATTTTCTAATTTATTATAGTTTATACCAATTTTTATGATGGCCATAATTATTATAATTTGTTGTTTTAAAATTATATTTAATTATTTTAAATTGAGTGGTTAGTTATTAGAAATGTATCTCAAAATATATGTAACTAGACAATTATCTTTGTTTAAGAGAAGGTAATTTAATAATTTTGCCTCCCTCAAAATATTTTTTGATGCAATATTTAAAAAAAATTAGATCTTGATAGTTTTGCCCACCTTTAAAAATAATGTTGAGTTTATCCTTGTTTTTCTTGTATCTTTATTTCAAGAATGATCTCTTAAACTTCATTTTAAAGTCGAAATCCGTTGAAACTGGGTGAAATTGGTTCAAACCTAGGTCAAAGTTTCAAGCCTTTTTCAAATAAACTCAAACATTTGAATACAAGTTTGCATAATAGTTCATTCTTTGAAGCACTTGAACCTCATGGTTTGGTCTCTTCGAAGGGCGAAGGGGAGGGGATCAACTGGACTAGCAATGCATAAAGGAGAAGATGAGTTTGAGGGCACAATAGGGGAAGGCACAAACAAAACTAGTAGTGTGGATGTAGAGATGTTTTGCACAATAAATCTCGCTACTCAATACATCAACAAGACCAACAATACATGAAGGATTAGGGGAGTTTGTGATGGGAACTCATTGGGAAGGCAGTGATAGCTTATCAGGGAAGGCATTGATGTGATTAATGTCAAGTGAAAAAAAAGATGAGGTTGTGAATGCCTCTTATAAGACTAGACATCAATGAGATCAACCACATATCATGAACTCTTGGCAGAAATGATGAAATGTTTGAACCTTAGTTCATATCAGATTAAAATCAATTTAAATTTAATTTGATTTTAACAAATTTAAAATATCTCATAAGTCTAATAATCAGCATAAAACTACAAAAAAACTATTTCTTAATAGAAGTAAATTTGTCGAAAATAAATTTTTCTGTGCATTCTTCTAAATAAAAATATAATGAACATATTAAATCAAATAAAAGCATTATGAGACATGTCAAAGTTAAATGGAGATTTTATAATAGGAATTTACAATGCTCACTTGCATAGCCTCATAACAATATCATGGTGTTGTTTTCACCACCAAGAAATGTGTGTAATGGGGCACTTAATCATTTGATATAAGATAAATGATTAAGTCATTTTCACGAGTGATTAAGGTTAGAAAAAATTGACTTTATGTACCTCATAGTATGTGTAATCTGATAAATAATCTCATATTCGTACTCTTTGAAGAAATATTTCTATAAATTTATTTTTGGCAAACTATCCCATTATATGTATGTGAACCACTCATTAAACTGAGGCTCAAGCATTTGAATGTATCTTCTCCTTCATATTTGTCACTTGTCAATGTCCTTAATGAGCACTTATCATGAACTTTCTTTTTTGATGCGCTTCAATTAATGAATGAAGCTTAATTTAAGCAAAGTTTTGAATGTAGTACAAATTTGAATTTGTTTCAAAGTTGGGAAGGAGCACAAATATAAATAAACCCAAAGATAAGCTTTTAGGCATATTTCTCTTAGAAAGAAATTTTCCTTAAAATGTAAACTAGAACATAGTGAAAATATCTCCACGATCCTCTAGACAATTCACTTCAAAAAGGAAAAAAAGGGCATTTACTTATATACAACATAATTTCTATGTATTTACTTACATAAGACTTTCATGTAAATATTCATGCATCACAAAAAATTAATTACAATTTATTTTTTAAAAATATATAATACATTTCTTTATGCATATATTTATGAAATTAATGTGTTATATTATTATAGATGCGAAAGCTTAAGTATTAGATGTGAAAATATATAAAAATTATGTTGCATGTAATCATTATTTAAATTTCAAACTCTTTTTTTACCAAAAAAAAAAGAGCATAAAGGATAATATATACAGTTTTAACCCCTAATCTCATCGTCAAAAAATAAGTTTTGTTTTGTCAGAAGAGGGTGCATTTGGGGATGGTGGCGGTGTTTGCCGCACCGTAGTTTTTTCTGTTTAGCAAAATTGTTTTTTCAAAAAGTTATAGCTAAAAGTTGTGTTTTACCATCACATCTGGCTATCTGTGGTGACTGCTAGAAACCTGCGATCTGACTTTTTCACAAAAAAAAGTAATATCCAACGCAATTCTTTGACAACGCTACACAACTGTGTTTTTCAAACAATTGCAACTGCCCCAAATAGACCCTACGGGTGTGTTTGGGGAAGCTTTTTTAGCGTGATGCATTTTTAAAATGTGGCTGGGAATGTTTGGAAACAGCGGTGCGGTGGCGTTCCTAAATAATCTATTTTAAAACGCGGTCGCGGGTTCGACTTTGAGGCTCGTGTTTCTTCGCGTACATATTATCCCGTTGCCCACAGCTCCCTCTCTCGCGTTTCTTCTGCCTCTCTCGACCTTGTGGCTCCCTCTCTCACATTTCTTCTACTCTAGCTACCTTTCTCGATCGTTATCGTGAAGTTCTTCCCCCACTACCTAAGTATCTCTCTTGCGCCTCTTAAGCTCCTCTCGTCGGCGACAACTTGCCTTTCTCCTCTCTTTTCCCTCTGGTATGTAATTCATCTGCTCTTTTTCTATGGAATGGTTTTCTCATTGTGATTTGTGGCTTTTTCATTTGCGATATGTAGGGTTTTGTGAGATTTTTGTGGATTTTGAGATTTGTAAGGTCTGCGATCTATATGGTTTTGTGAAATGGTGTTTCGGGTGCCCTGTAGATAGATAACGCTGTTTATAGTGCCATATATGTCATTGCAAAAATGGTTGAAAGAGGAAGCTTGATTTGTAGATAGGATTGTTTTCGATGTCCTATATGTCACTTTCTCAATCGTAAAATATGGAATGAAAGGTGGGGTTTTTTGGGGTGCTCTGTATATAGATAATATTTTTTCGGGTGCCCTGTATGTAACTAGTGAGAATTTAAAAAATATAGGTGCCCTATAAGTAATGTTTTGGGTGCTTGAATTTTGAGTGAGAATTTGAAAAATATGGAGCTATGTTTTATCTTTACCTCTTCTTAACTTTTTAGTGAGAATTTGAAAAATAGATGAAAGTGAGTGCTTGATTTGTAGATAACAATGCTTCAGGTGCACTGTATGTAATTGCCTCAAATGTAGAATATGGGATGTGGTTCTACCATTATTTTTCATGCTTGTGTGAGAATTTGAAAAATGGATGAAAGAGGGTGTTGATTTTGGTTGTAGGTTGTGATGAGGTGGTGATGCGTTGCGGGGGAAGCTGTTGTGGATGCAGTGGAGTGTTGTGGTGTGTTATTGATGTTGATGGTTGGTGGTTGGTGGCATTGAGCTGGTGGTGTGTGGTTTGGAAAAAATGGTGTGGTGTGGTGGCGGTTATGAGGTAATGCGATAGTGGTTGGTGTGTGGAGATTGTGGTGTCTGTGTGGAGTTGTTGGCGTGTAGTTGTTGAGGTGATTGTTAGTGTGTGGTTGTGTTTGTGTGGAGATATTAGTGCGTGAAGGTGGTGGCGAAGGTGTAGTGCATGTGTTGGTGTTTTGATGTGCTAGTATGTAGAGATTGTGGCATTGTTGATGGTATTGTAGCATTCCATTTTTTTTATTTTTTTGAGTTGCAATATTACGGAAATCCCATTTATGTTAACTAGTTTTTTTTCATGCTAGTAATACAATGGTTAAGAAATAAGAGGTCGTTTCATTTACAATATCAAATAAAGAGATAAATTTAATATTTTGTAACATTTGTTCTAAAGAGGTGGAAATAGAAAATATGCCAACTACTTATTTCAACAATGAAGAATTGCAAAATATTATTAAAAAATTCAAGAAAAATACAGACAAATAGTATGATAAGATGCATTTAAAAATAAGTTGGATTAGCTCAAGATGGATTGAAAAATCTGGAAGGAATTAAAACGAGCATCAATGTGCATGACATGGAATCCAGTAAAGCGAGCGATTGATGTTTTCGAAGAGTGGTGGGCAGAGAGACAAGATTTGAGCATTTTTAAATGTTCCATATTTTTGTCAATTTTTTATATGTTTTCAAAACATGTTATATTTATTTTTAGGTGGTGTATGTTGTAAAAAAAATTAAATACAGTAGAATCAATCATAAATTGGAGAAGTTGAATCGTATGTTTGGAGTCATTGTGACATCGAACAACAGTGCGTGTGCCCCCAGTGAAGTTGGGTTTGGTGGCATCCCCAATCATTTGGGAGCTGATCAAACAAGTGATTCCAATGAAGGCCCCAACCCAGACCTCTATGAAGTTGAGTCCTCGAGCATTTCAGAGCATCCGCAGGTTGAAAAAAAAAATATGGGGGGAGCACCTTTTCTGAGAAGTCAGATCTCATAGTTAGTGGTTTCATACTTCAAAGACCCTAGCCCATCACAAGAAATTTTGAATGCAACTTCAAAAATTTACAAGGACATACTGCTATTGTTCGGCAGCCGTTTATTATTAATCCAGAGTTGCCTCAAACATGCCTAAGACAATGTAACGACATCAAAACACAAAATGAGGGTAATCAATGCAAAACACCGATAGTGGCAATTGTAAATATCTAAGGATCCAACGACATCTCCGTCAACGAAGCGTCGCCCACTGTTGTGCCGTGGCCCTGTTTCTCCCGCAACCTCCGGCGCCACGTCCGCTATTTGTTTCTCCCAAATCTCAAAACGGTAAAATGGGAAGGTACTGTGCCCGCTTTATGAACTACAGTAAGAGAAGCAGAGAGAGGAGAGCCCTCCTATTATCCAAAGGGCAAAGCTATGGTTTTTGTTTGGCTTTTACCATTCTGCAACCCGACGATGCGCTCCGCGCTGGCATACTAAAGCTAAAGAAGATTCCCCCTCTTCTCCCCCCCTTTCTCTCCCCTTCCCCATTCCAGCCCTCCTACCACCCTAAAAACCCTAGATCTCTCATCACGCATGTGATGTGATTGTTCTGGAGCCCATCCGTTCTCACGGTCGCCGTAACTCCCAAAGCGGGTTCCTTTTCTGGTTTTTCCGATGGGCTGCGGTGGTTCGAAGCTCGAGGAGCTGAATGCAGTTGCTCTTTGCCGCGACCGATCCGAACTTCTCGCCGAAGCTATTCGCCACCGCTATGCTCTCGCGGACGCGCACGCGGAGTACGCCGACTCGCTCTGTTCCTTCGGCGTCGCACTTCATCGGATGCTCGACGTTGGAGCCCACTTGCAGGGATCGCCTGTCCTTTCGCTTCCAGCGCAGCGAAAGGGCGATCCTCTCCTTCGGCGGCGGCGGCGGCGGCTGCGGCTGCAGTTCACTCCCACTCCCGATCTCAGTCTGGCTCACACATTCATTTCCATTCTTCCGATGAGTCCGACTCGGACGGCGACTCTCTTCAACACTCCGATGGCGACTCCCCTGTTCATTTCCACCCCGATCACCATGAACTCCTTGGCGGACCAACCTTTTTCAACGTCCACTACGCGCGCAGCAATCCGCCTCCTACCTCCGTTTCTTTCGAGCAGCGCGTGCAAAGTCCTGAGAAAGTGCACTACGGCTCTGTTGCTGAGCCCTCGTCGTCTTCTTCTTACTCTTATCCCTTGCCCTACGCCTATCAGCCTAG